AGTTCACCTGCTCTTGCGGAGCAAAGAATATAGGCCGTAGCTAGAGAATGCTTCCCACAAGGATACGAGAACACTTATCAGCATGGTTTTACAAGGGAGAAGGGAAAGGGCGCGCGAAGCTCTATCCTAGAACACTTGATAGACTCATGTCATTCTAGCAACCATGAACATAATTTTAAGATCATCTACCAAATCCATGCTAACTTGCCGCATTTTCTTCGTTGCAGACTTCTAAAGGCAGCGTAGGCATTGTTCATTCATGAATTTAAGCCAGACCTATGTGTACAAAAGAAGTATGTTCAATCCCTACTTCTGCTTTGGCCGTATGTATAGGGATGGGCATTTATTTATTTGCTTTGTTTATTTAGTAAATCTATGTACCTTTCCGCATTACTACGACTATTATTATTATTAAGATTCTTAGTTCGAATTGTTTTTATTTGTCCCACCTGTTATTCTAAATCCAAAGAATGTTTACAATATTGAATTCTCTGGTATTGGTTTTGTAGGGATTTTGTTTGATTTGATTGGAGGATTTTATCATGAGCTGACATCGAATTGGTGACATCGCGAAGTGGTTGCGCTATGTCAAAAATTGGCAGACCCGTATTGAATTCTATCTTATCAAATTTCACACCATGTTATGTAGCATTTTATGTTCGCCTATTAATCCCATAATTATGCACCCCTTTCCAACATCTATACACCTTATGGATTATTCTATATATGACATCAATTGTTTTGCTACTTGACACTTAACTATGATTGTAATCACAAATATTTTAATTTCACTTCATACTATTATTATTATTATTTCATGTATTCACACCTTTGACCTAATTCCCTCACCGGATAATAAATTCGTCGTTGAAAAGTGTCTCTTCGCTGAATATTGTGTTCTTAATTTACAAATCACACAATCCACCCATGTTTCACAGTTGGAAATGAAAAATATTCATAATATTACAGAAGTGTGTGTGTGACTTGTATCAGGAGAAATATTCAACGTGAAACAATGCGACTACTATACTCACTTCCATTTATGCTACCCAAACAACAAGCGACATTCTTGTAATGCATTTTCTGATATCCCAACAAGGTAACTACACATTTGAACTGTCCAAGCTGCTAATGTCAAAGAGTATTTCTTTGTATTACCATCTCACAGTTTGCCAGAGTAACTAGGCAGGGTTCAGGTGGTTTGTACAACAGATTAGATCGATTCGGTTCACTTGTCATGAGCTTTACCTTCATGTGCTGTGAATGCACACTCGACTCTACAACCAATGGAACCGTCTTCCGATGAAGATAAGCCAATCTCAGTTAAGCATAATCACAGCACAACGGCAAAATTCAACAATAGCGTCCAAAGGGACGCTAACAACCACGAGTGACCTTCAACCAACCAATCATACAAATAAGTGACTTTCGCACGAAATAATGACGTATATCTACAAGAAAATGCATGAAAACACACTAAACAGGGTATCATTCTCTAACATGACTTAAAAATGACGCCCCCCCCACACCTATAATGAGGAGTATCGGTTGCTAAGTTCAACTAGTTTCTGTACTTGTATTCACTGAGATGACTGAACATGAGCTGCTTTTGTGAATGGTTTATCGCTTTTATCTTGTTGTGCAGTCCTCCCCAAAGCCCTCGATTGAATTTACTGTGGTTTCCATTAAGAGGATTGACGGCTACTTACTTACCAGGAAAATGTGGATAATAGAACAAATTAAAATAAATGACATCAACTCTAAAACTATCCTGATCGCGACCTTAATTACCACCCTAATGTTAATTATGATCCTGATCCTAACCCCAATACTTACCTTAATCTTAAGCCTAACCCTAGCGAGCTATTAACACATTACAAGCAGTACTTGTAAACGTGATCTGGGTGATAATTTCTCCCTAGTTGGTGAATATCACTGATATTTTAGCTTTGATAATGACAGGTGCCGTCAATGAACGACTAGCATGTGTTCGAGGTCATTGGAGCGTTCGCACTCCTGGCAGGCTAATGTTGAACTTCACCAGCTCAACAATCAATCCATGCTAATCATGCAAATTTCTTTCATGGTACGGAGGAGTTATATCAAAGACATTCAGGAACAACGGATCAGGAAATCAGGACAAATCTCCACACAAACCTTAGCATAAGATACGAATTCCCAACACTGATGCCGTGTGAGTCATCACTTGCTCCTATATATAAATATGGTTCAAAGACTTGGAGTATCATTAAAAGCATTTTTTAAACAGGCTTTAGAATCCCCTAGATACTGAAGAAGATCAGATGATCACAGCCAGGTTAATAAGAGACAACCCAGAAACTCTTGGAGAGCAGGTACCAAGAGCATCGAATCACTTTATAACTTATTAAATTATTGGTTTTGCTTTTAGTTCCTAGAGGGACACACACATCTCCCTGCGTTCGGTTCTCTGCCAACCTTTTCACCTGGCTTCACATCTACCCACATGTTCTCGTCTCCTCTTCACATGACCGCCTCCTCTATGGCATCCTCGCAATGATGACCAACTCACCGCTTTCCGTTCGGGTTTCACTCGAGCGATGGCCTGGAGTGTGATGTCACTTACTTGACGGTTTGTTTTCTCAGAGTATGGACATCAATCTACCTCCATTTCTTCTGGCATATTTCTTGCACAGTTGGTTCCTGTTGAGTTGGTTCGCTCATTGCCAGAGATCCCTGTTCCTGATGTTTTCTGGCCAGCCATTTGATCTTGAGTATTGAGCGAAGACAGCTGTTGGTGAAAATCTGTAGTCATTTCTCTGATCCGTATAGCAAGTAGCACTGACTTCACATTGGAGTTGAAAATCCAGATCTCCTTTTTCATGCTGTTGCTTTCCACACAGACTTTAGAGTAATGGAATCTAGCCTTGCTTTCCCGATCCTCGATTCGATATCGTCGTCAGTTCCACCTATAATTGAAATGATGCTTCCCGGGTGGGTATATAGGTAGAAGAGGTTGCCTCTTTCAAATTTCTCCCATTTATGTTGATCGTTGGTCTGTTGTAGTTGATGTTACTGTTGAGACCAGGAATCTTCATCACCTCTGTTGAAGATTTCATAACTTCCTGCCCAATAAATTATGCAGAAGTATATATCTCTAAGAATTGGGCATAGGCTGAGAGGAGACCACCACATCAAGTAAAACTGCATACAACAGGCTCTCAAAGTGCTACTCATCAAACACAGGAATGATGAGTTGGAAGGTGGATCGTACACACAGAAGAAAATGAAAGCTTTTTTTTGGGAGGGAGGGAGGGAGCAAGTCACACTGAGTCAGATGAAGAGTGGAGACGACGACCTACCACCCCCCCTCCCGCCCACTCATCAAAACACTCAAGGAATCAACAACAAGCAATTATATACGTATACATGTATATATATTTATACTAATAGAATCTTGTACTAAATATGATGCACATATTTATGAATGTATATACGGAAGTATAGATAAAATTCAATAAATTGTTCCGGAGAGAACAGTTTTTTTTCAATTGTATGTAGTATGAATTTCGAAACATGATTTATATAATATATAACGCTCGAAAAAAATAGACCATAAAGAGGTAGCGATGCATAGACTGGCTGACACACAAGTGGAAACCACCACCACCACCACCACATTCCCAGTGAACAAAAAAGAGCACACATGAATGTAGGCAGGCAGGCACGCAGACAGGGAGAGCGGTAAATAAAGAAATATATTATATATGCGCATCTATGTAATGTAGTAATATGTATAAAATACAAAAAGAAACTCAACATTGGAGATATACATGATTTACGATAGTAATAATAATAATAATAGTAATAGTAATAATGACAGTAATTCGTTGTGAATGGAGAAACTGGCCTCTTTGGATAATACTGCTACTACTGTTTAATACTACTTGAAATCGAAATAATTCAGTAGTATCTCAGCAATAGACAACAATGAATAGAATGGGGAAAATGAAGAAAAAGCAATCAAGGCAATCGAGATAAACAGATAGAGTTGACAAGTAGGTAGGTGTACACACACATAAGAGAGAGAGTTTGTCAACTGTCGCATAAAATGACTAGACCCAAAAAGAGAGTAATCAACTGCTTTGACTAGTAATCAAATCAAATGGGAAAGGAGTAAAGAGTGTATTCTCTCTCTTTCCATTGTGATTGTACAACAGTCTGTGTGTGTTTGTGAATAGTTAATGTTATTATTAACAGAAATTATGAAGAACAATAATAATTATAAGCTGTGTATGTGTATATGAATGACATTCAAAAAGGTAGAACTTGTTACGTAATACTCAAGAGCCCCGGAGTAAATGATATACACACGAAGAAAACACGCTGGATAGGGCGAATATGCGCGCTCGCTCTCTCGCGCAGATACACGTACAGAAAACATTTCCGCCTTCTTTTAAGTCCCCTTTAGAACTCAGAGAGAGAGAGAGGGAAAATACTGCGGTAAACAAGGCTCATAACTCACAAGCATGCATATATATATGTCCACATATTTCTTCCGAGTGATAATAAACAAATCAGTAAAACGTTCCATACAGAAATCAGCATAGAAAAGGCCAAAGAAGGTGTGTGTGTGTGTGTGTGGCGGGGGAAGGAAGAGAGGACAGTGGCAACAGTAAAAACAACACATTACATAACTATTTGCCTAATTAGAAAACATAATGGAGTATTCAATACAAAAATGTACCTGAATCAGTTGATTACATCAAATGATGATTGGATGAGAAGCTTGACAAAACCGCAAACACACACGCATACATACACCATGATTTGAGTATAACTTGCTATATGTAGTAGTAAGAACGGAAAAGCGAACATACAAATCGAAATAAAAATAACAGTTATAAAGAGGGAAGAGGTAGAAGTAGAGGGGAGGAGAGACAGAGAGTGGTAGACTGTTCGACAAAAAAAGGAAAAAGTTAACAACAGTTCCTTTGGAAAAATTCAGGTGATAATTTTTCTTAGATCCAATATGAAAAACCAATGAATATGATTGCATAAAGAGTAATCAGTGAACGAGGCACCAACTGCCTAAAGTTCCCATAGTTTCGAGGTCCTGAGAAAAGAGGAAAACACAGAACGAAAGAGGAGGGTGAGTTATACGTTAAAAAAATGAACAACAACAATAACAACAAAAACAACCACAACAGTTGTCTCAGCTTTACGTTGTTCATAGTATCATTTGCTTCAAGTCAAGCTTTGACTTTTTCACTGAAATTGACTGAACCAAAGTGTTCGGCTTCTGTTGACATGTCTCTCGGTTCCCGGTAGGCAGGTATGTCCAATGCGGTAGTTGTGGTCAAAACTCAGTTGCCCAAGGCAGATTTATCTTTTATTTATAATACGGAGAAATTTATTCCGCGAGAGGTTGTGATACTGCTGATCGAGGTGTTCAGAAGGCTGAGTGGGATTCAAACCCCCGCTACCCATTTATTGGAATGGATCGATCAAGTATTTAAGACAGTAGGTTATGATAAACACTTATTTAAGTGTGTGCTGCTTTCACATATAAGGTTAGAGAAGTGGGAAGTAGAAAAATGTGAAGCGAATCAGTAGTCGATGTGACTGACTGACTGACCGACAGAGTTTCAAGTTATCACACTCGTCCATGTAACACACAAGGGTAGAGAAAAATGAGAGAAAACAAAGAGGCTCGAAAGAATCATAATGAGTGAGGAAGAGAGAGAAGTAACATAGAAAAACATAAAGATTTAGTGGAAATTGGAGATTGCACTTAGAATGAATACATTCACCGTATTGACTACAATTATGAACCATAACTTCAATAATCTCCATTCAGACATTGGATCTTTGCAGCCCGATGACTCCAAACAGGCAGTTCTACAGCTTCCTACATCGCAAGCCCAAACTAAGTGTTTAAGGCTTCACAAGTTGATGTCTTTAATTCTCTTCCAACCTTTGATATCCGACTATCGACCAAAGAGCAGGTGTACTGCTCATCAGTCCGCTCCGTCCTCCTGGCCACTGAGAGTGGAAGACATGAAAAGATTAGTTGTCTTTGATCATAGGTGCCTGCGCTCTATCCATATCCCGTGTGAGGTGGCATAATAAGGTGAGCAATATTGAGATTAGGCTTCGACTGCTAGGTAGGTGGGAGAGGAAATCAATTGACGGGGTTGTGAAGTTACATCGACTGAGATGGTTACGACATGTGTTACGTATACCTAGTCATCGCCTTCCTCGACAATGGGCAATGTTAGCTGATATAGGGTCAGACTGGAAAAGAACTAGCGGTGGTCAAACAAAAACATGGCACCAGTCAATGAAACCTACAACAGTTAGTCTAAGCCACGTAGGAAGGTGTAGACTTCCTGACTGGTTGGGGTCCTCGGGACGGTAAAAACCAATGGTTGAAAACAAATTGGTGACATGGCTCGAAATCGTTGCCAATGGCTGTCCCAGATGCATCCACTCTTTGTGACTTATGATCCTCAAATGAAACTGTTTTGTTCTTCGTTATTACTCTTACTTTGTCTCACACCTCTGCTTACTGCCTCCAATATGCATTTCATCTACTTTCTTCTGTTGCTTTGTGTGCTACATGGAGTGTGTCGACTTGAACTGGCGCACATATTTGCAAAATTCTATGTCGAAAACAGGCAGACAGTCATAAAGGAGGACAAAGAGAACTACTGTGTTGTACATGTGTTCTTTGGTTGATAGCCACATATCAATGTCTACGCCAGAGATGATGTGAGTTGACGAATGCCAACTTAGTTTTCATTTATTCTAAATGAGAGGGGAAAAAAGTCCTCGATTACTTGTCAGAATCCGGTAAAGCTGTGGTTCACTATCAGCTTAATAAGTCGACTTTTATAACCAATACACGCCCAAGGTTCGAGTCTTGCCCCTAACACTATTTACTTTAAAACATGAGTAAGTAACACATTAACCCTCCCCCCAATACACACACATACAAAGTCTGACCAACACCATCATATGAACAAGAAACCGGAACAAATCATAATGAAAATAACGACACATATATGTATATATATACACACACACACCGCTTGAACGTGTGATCACATTTGATAGTGTACCAAAAAGACAGCCGGAAAATTGTCAGTGAAAAGTGAAAAAGGCATTTAAATGCATCTTGTTAGTTAATTAGTAACAAAGTAACACAGAAATAATAATAACAATAACTTGTAACTTTGTGTTTATTTCTAAAACCTTTTAAGTATTGACAAAACACAATTACGTCTCATTATTATTAGTAATAGTATTATTCCAAACCACTAATGGCCAACATACATTTATATAAAAATATTTTGCCATAAAACTATAATTAATGTTAAAAATATAAATGGAATAGGTATTACAAGAAAGGAACTTGTTAGTTTTACTACCAGCATTACACACACACACACACACAAACACGGAATGCCTATTATGTAATCAGCCTGAGGTCTACCGCAACTTAATGTAAGAAAGTGTAACATTGTTAACTAAAAGTATGAATAAGCCGTTAAACATGAAAGTATTTTTAATTAAAAACAAACATGTTAGCTGTTATGTAATCCATTCGTTACACAAGACATATGCATAAACACTACTAAAACAGACTAGTATCAGGGTACTTAAATAAGGTTAACACTCTGGACTTTGATTGAATCCAGCTAGCCCGAGTACGAGACACATCAAGGCTGTTTTAGGCTAGAACGGGCTTGAATCCTATTCCATCAACCATACTAAGGTTTGCAAAGTCATATAGTGCGTATCGTACATTATAGTAGATGTGGTTCAATGGCAAATGCATACAAAATGCAGGTGATTGTCGAGTAAAGATTTCCAATACACAGGTAGACATGCATGCACGCAAGTATAAAAATTAATATAAGTTGATCTACAGTTTTGTGTAATATATTATGTTTTATGGTATTGGATTGTTGGAGACAATCAGCAGGAAGCCTTCCACCATATTTCACTCACCCACTCACTCACTCACTCACTCACTCACTCAACGACTCCAGCCAAGAGTCCTTAACCTCTCTAAATGGCTCAAAACTGACAGGTAAAGACTCCATGAACTAATGTCATATTTTGATTTGACCACCCCAACTCTTTTCCAATTGAATCAATCCCAAGTTAGCTAGTAGACCTTAACAACAAGGAAAGCGATGGTATAGCATGTGTAACACATGTCCTAGCAATCTCATCGATTAATTTTTCCTTCTTATCTCGTACTCTATAGCTGACCTCACTATCACCTGCTATAACATACCGCAGAGCACAAGAGATAGATGGGCAAGGTTGGAGGTTATTGACAATAATAATAATAATAGTTTTAAGAACAAAAAAATACTTCGAACATCCATTTTATGATTTTAAACTTAACACTGAACTTACCAGGTGCTTTAACAGCCGATGTATCCTTTGGATTACGTTGTAACAGAATTGGATCAACTTTGTTCCGACCTACGTATGCATACATAAAAGAGAATAAAGCAATGAAGCAACAAAAGAAAACGATGATCAGAATTTTTTCCTCAAGAACCAGCATCAGTTAATAAAGGAGTCATTGAAAATCAGAAAAGAGAGCATTGGACAGCTCTGCTTCCTCCTTGAATCTTAGTACAAATGGCTGAATGGTCAGACGGTCAACGAATTTGGCCTCGTAACCTGAAAGTTTTCGGGTTTCATGACTGATGTAGTCACGGGTACGAACCGATGAAGAGTTCCACTATAGGATAAAACAGCCACCAAGTAATCCCTTATTTTCAATGATCTCTTTAACTGATCTATTGGTTTGTGACGAAATCCGACAGTTGAAATTAAGTCAAATTAGATCTTTAAAAATCCTATAATCTAAATTAAATTAGTAATTGACTTGACACTCAATAAGTGTATGGAGTAAGTAGGTAAACAGTCTCATGAAAAAAGCAAAACGACATGTCGTCAACTTATTGGAGAGAGGCGATACTGAACACGTTCAGTATTTGAATTCACGAGTTGGTCGGTCAAACCTCAACTAGTTATAACTTCTAAGACACACTGAATGAGGATAATTCAATGATTTAATTTCACAAATTTGAATAAGGTTGCTGCCACTGCTGTGTTCTCAGCCTATGGGGGAAGCTGTTTCACACCATTCATCCATCCATAAGAAATTATAAGATAATCTAATTCACGCCTCAACATAAAGCAGGTTCACATTTGTAAAATTTACATCCACACGTGTTAGAGTGTGTGGTTTTAGATCAGTTACAGACGGGCACAAACCCACTTCACGATAGACAAGCTCATCCATCTTAGATCAAGGTGACAAAGGGAAAAAATCTAATAACAATAATAACAATAACAGTGACTGGTTGATGTACGAAATGAAGAGAACATTTTCTTTTGTATGGGAATATTTGATAATAAATACATGACATATGTCAATATTATGGTTGGGTTGAGTGTTTTGGTTTTTTTGGTTCCTTGTTGAAGTGATGACCAAATATCAGCTTGGTGTATATGTAGTAAGTGGTTGACAGTGTCATTCACTTGAGGATGGGGGTTAGTTGCTACGCTGACTTTTTTCTATACGTCTATTATTAGTGAGAACGTAGACTTCTTCTTATTCAAGAGTACTTAAGGTCAAAGAGGAATAATTACTCATGCGTGAAAGACAATTACTACAACATATGGCCAGTAGATATGTGTGTATGAGTATATGTTTATTGCTACTGTGCAACTAATAAAATCCAGTCAACGGGTGGAGGGCGTTGTTAAGGTACTTAAAGAAGTGGACTCGACAGAACAAACAAACAAATGTTTAGCACTTATTGTTTTTACCAGTGATAAAAAGGTGTCAAGAAATATCAAGTTTTGAATGCAGCTGCTGATGATAATTAACAGTGGAATCCTGTGCCGGTGCCACAGCTGTAGAATGCTCGTCAACCACACCACATATGGTCCAGGCTTTGATCCCCGGCAGATACCTTCACTACGCTAAGCCAGTAAAGAGGGAAGGCTGGACATATGGCTAGCAACCTCGCATCCCATAGAAATAAACACCACTGCTACCGAAACTTCAAAGCTCTGGCTTGAAGCCCTATTTCCCTCTGGGAACGCAAAGGAATAAAAATTTTAAAAATAAAAAAGCAATGGAATCCAAGATGTGTGTTTCATCTCTATTGGGACCCGTCAACTGGATAAAAGCGCATCACCAAGCCCCCTCTTCAGTGACTGATGGTTTTTATCCTACTGAGACTGGAACCCATCAACGGTTGCTTCACATGTTTATGAGTTAGTTATCTACGAGGTTACGTCACAAGAGCTACCTCTTGTGCAATGGGCTATCTATCTAATTGCTATTTGTTGACAAATTTTTGTTGAACTGACATAGTCTATCTCCTGTAGAGTGAACAAATATTGATGATATCTGAAGATTTACAATCAGGATGTTATTTTGGCTGATGGTGAATAGCATCAATTGTCTTTAACTGTACACACGCATGCAACACATGTACGCTTTCAATTGCTCATCAAGTTGTATGGCACACAGTATGGTAAATAGTGCTGGAAATGAACGCAGACTGTTGCATAATGAAGATAAATCAGACATTAGGTTAATTATGCAGTATCATCTACTGAGATGGGCTGGTTATGCTGAGCCATAAGATAGCCTTTTCAACATGCAAAGTCGGTTGAAATAGAACTAGACAAAACAACAGAGTTAGGAGTGTTCAAATGAAAGCAACATTGCGTCAATCCACCAAATTTTCGATGACTCCTCATTCATCTGCATCACATAATGAGGTACTGATTGTCTGGTTGGTTGTTTCTTTATCTATGGTTCATCAGGGGTTCAATGGAAGAATATACACGTCGACCGTGAATATAATCCAGGATTAGAGTCACGGATGACACATACGCACACTCCTAAGCTTGGAAAAGAGGGAAGTTCGAATGTGTGACTAGCAATTTCACCCCACGTCGAAGTAACAACACTAGAGATACAAAGATTTCAAAGATTGAAGACCTATGTTCCACTCGGAAAGCAAAGGAATGAACAGATTGTCGTCTATGCAGTTCGAATCTCTAAGCATATCCCATCAACCACCACCATCCACGTCTAAGTGTAACTTTAGTCATTCAATAATCCTACTTTTCCTACTCAAATATAGTGTATTTGTGATGTCATCACAACAAATCAACTGGGGGAATTTTTACGAGATAGGTCTAAGCTGATTATTGACAGGTTTCAAAACTTCGACAACTATTTTTACACACACACACACACACACAAACACACACATGAAATATAGTTAGCAATGATAAGAAATAATCGTTTATTGACTGTATATTACATGAAACTCTGTCAGATGTGATGTATAGTCCTCCTCTCATCAATATTTAATCGACAATAACATCTTTAGATAAGGCTGACATCTTTCCATACACACATACACATCCAGGTGTAGTTATTTAATATTTCAGATAAGAATAGTTAATACGATAATGACACTTTCTGGCTGATTATGTAATCTGTAAATTTTTATCTCATGTCATTGATTAGTTCATTTGATAAGTTATCAAAATGATTGCTTATGATCGTCACGCCTAATTCATATATACGTTCTTTTCACTCCTTCACGTTCCAAGTGTGAGACATATAAGGCTGCGGTATTGTGAGCTGAACACCACCCAACCATCCGTCTTTGGAGGGGGTTTAGTTAACAACCAGTAAACAAGGTGAGGTCTATGATTGCATCGGCAGAAAACTGAACGCAGTTTAACAGCATTCCACTGTTGGACCACCTGACGTACATATCACCTACTACTACCGTTGGATGTCGCGGATTTTAGCTGGAGAACAGTTAGAATAAGATGGTGATAATGACAATGATCAGAAGTTGTAGTTTTGTGATATAAATCATAGTATTCATCAAAAATCGCTTAACTTCTTATGAAATATATTTTGTTAGTGTCCTATAAGAAGAAGCAACAGAGAATCAGAATCACCTCGCCATGATCTAGAAAAGTTTCAGTAACCAGCTTTTTATCATCCTTGGATTGAAGAAACCACATTACAACTGCATGTAGTCAATTGGGTGAAGTATTTTGAAGTGATCTGTTCGGTGGTAGCTATCAGCGGAATCTAGAATGTGAGTTTCACTACAACTAGGACTCGTCCTCTGGATGTACCTGCTTTGCACAATGATAACGTCCCGAGCAAGACACAAACCCAAAACCAAAATCTCAAGGTGTTATCCAATACACCACTTGGTCGCATTTTTTTGATGAGTCCCGGACAGTTCAAACCTAAATCCTAGATTATACTGCTAGGTACCACGAAAAAAAATAACTGTGAGGTACTGATCAAGAAGCCATAAATCAAAATAAGTCTGATATATTCCATGAGATATATGTTAACGGGAAATTATGCACATATATAAATCTAGCCACAGCAGGTGTGACTAAACAAACATTCCATAATCACCGACCAATCGATATATCTGCTGTAGTCCTTCATGAGGTCAGCCGTGAGCTCAAATAGCTCAACAGCATTACTGAGGGAGATGGTCGCGAATATCTGAGAGGAAACCAGGTGCTTTGGAGTTCCGTATAAGCTTCAAAAGTTACATGGAGAGTGTTCTTGTCGATTACTTCTAACATCCTGATGTCGAAATTTCACCACGAGCTGACATTAGTTAAAGAACATTTGCAAAAACCATGCTGAATAGTCTGCGCGTTTGCCTTGTAACCAGAAGACCGTGGGTTGCGAACCTTAGTAGGTACAGACTGGACTGAGGCAGATGTGCAGTACTCCACCGTTTTCCAATGGTTTTCTAACTAATGTCACCTCGTGAAAGAAAACCAAATCCCTAAAAACTAACTCCTGCAAGATAACATCCTTTTGCGATATTACTAAGAAAATAAGTTGAAATGAAAACACCAACTATTTGAATGAAAAGTATCTGCGAAGCTCAGACTAATAGTGTCGCAAGTACTCTTTCAACAATACTCAATCATTGTTAGATTGGCAATTGGTAGGAAGCCTTAGGACCTAGGAATTCGCGCTTCTTGGCACTTGCCACAGCAGGGTATGTGAGTAGCTGCAATCTTGAAGGGATTCATGTAATCAACTGAGATTGGAACATTCGGGCCACCCACTGTTGCAGTCATAGACCACTGGATATCAATTAACCTTCTCCGTAAGACTGTAATGGATACATTAAACCATCTGAGGACAATCCAAAATCCACCTTGATAACCACATAACTGCAGCATTGGGTCTTCACCAATAACAGATGATACACAATAAAATATAAAAAAAATCAACACATACCATCAAATTGAGGTGTTTTAAATACAAATTTTCCTGATGTACCACTGATACTGCTATCTCCTCCATCAAGATGACTTCCCACTGAGGAGGATGATGACGAAGAAGATAATGATGAGGATTTTGTACAAGCGTGTACATTACACACACTCAATGCAATATCATGTTGTGTATCAGCGCTAAGATTTGTTAAGTGATGCCATATCTTTTTAATATTTGATTTTAAATGATTATTTGTAGTATTTCCATCAATTGATGTAGAAGTCCTGTCTACTTTATCCTCTTCTAAATTGAAGACAAGTTCATGATGCTTTGGTGAACGAGCAACAATTGAACCACCAGCATCCTATGAAAAAGAAAAAGTTAAATTAAATCAAATCACATAAGGCGATAGGAAAACAAGATGAAAAGTTATTTTTGACAACCACTTGTAATCTCATGTACTGCTGTGGTGGACTGAGGGGGGGTGGGCAATCGGAGACACACACCAACTACGATTATTGGATAAAAGTAGTAGAGCCGCTTCAAGCAATGAGCCACACTTCTCCATACAAGATGGTAGAGCGCTGAATACAAACTAGATTATCAAGCATTAAGCATTATTTGACTCCACATTCTTTTTTCATGACAGACACCCCACAACTAGTGGTGCAACGGTAGAAAACGAGAAACTTGGTAGAGGAATATTTATTCCAAAGTAAATACACCTTATCTCTAAATCACCATTTGCACAGATCTTCCGTATACTGCCACTTCTGGCCTTCCTCCATATTATGTTTCTTTGTCTTCATGGCCACGTCTCTCAAGTTTCTCCGCAACGCTGATTCTTTCCCTTCTATATGATATTTTTATGCCGTTGAACATCCCTTTATATACTACACTGATAAATCTTATCATCAGTAGCATATACCACAGTGGACTATGATAAACGAAGTATGTCGAAATACTCAATAAGACACGAGAAAGAAACCAACAGCAGTTAGGTATACGATTTATCTTGCAGTATAATCGCATTCTAGTAAAATAAATCCTCTTCAGAAAACATACTAAATATAGTTAATGAAGGAATGTGGCCTATCAGCCATGATAATAAGCTAATCATTGAGAACGAAGCAGAATCTGGACACTTGGTTTCGTCTCAACTTAGGTAGTCTTCACACTACTGGACACCAACGGTCCCACTCCTCAACCATTGGTGAAAGGCATGTTCTTTAACGTCAAAAGGCGAACATATCCACCTTTCAGATGGTCTATTTGGTTTTCATTAAACCAAAATCTGGAAAGCAAAACTATCATTCTTATTTCCAATATAGGACTTCATCATAAGCATTAGTCTTACGATAAGACTAATGTCGCTGATCATTTTCCAACCATTTGGACAGGAATTCAATAGCTGATGGCTTCTAACTTTGTCAACTCGTCATAGCCACTATCTTTGATCAGCATCAATTTCACATCTCAACATGGTGGACCCCTAGTCGGTCACGACTTTTCCCTGCAGAGCTTCAAGAAAATCCACATCCACCAATAAGCTTGAGACTGATACTTAGATTACTGTCTAGTACTTCCTGGTTTTCGATGAAACATACATTGAAGGACAATAACATGGTAGTAGGTAAAAGCATATTATTCCTTCTACCCTCTCCGCTCCAACTGTCATCACTGTTTAGCATTAATGGGCATTTTAGATGCGTTTTTTACAATTCTGTGCTGATAAGACCATTTAATTATTTATAATATATGTATAATGGTATCATATACCAAAATACATATTAGAGAAACATAGTAAGCCTATGTGTTTACACCCGATAGGTAATAATAAAATAATAATAATAATAATTTGTCTAGACAGAAAACAGTACTGGAAAAAAGACTCAGAAGAGAAACCTATTTTTGTTGTTCCACTCTTTAGTTATCACTGATAATATACACATATTTATAACATGACAAAAGATATTAATTAGTAAATAAATCGTACCCCACGCAGACACACGCACATTCACGTTTGCGTGTCCGTTGAAGAGAAATTAGAGTCACAGTCACCGCCACCCAACAGGAAGGGAAGCAGCAGTTGACAAAAATGTTTATTGGTAGTAGTACTAGCCGTAGTATTTGGTATTTAACCTGAAAACATGCACACACGCACAAATACACAGACAGAAAATGTAAGCACGATAACCGGCCATGTCCTAGTACAACTGCTACAGACGTACAGTGTTTCACAAAGACCAGACTATGGGTCTGCGCACACGCAGTCCCGGTAAATGCACAAACAAACAAGCACAAACACAGAACTAGTGGCTACTGGAATAGTTTATGAGAAGTTTTGGAGACTAACTGGATGACTAAGCAGGTAAAAACATACAAATAAATAAATAAATAACAAAGTCACTATTATCACAACATCACAATCGGGGTAAAATAAAAAGCGAAAACAAAAACAATAAAAACAGCCTAAAACAACATTGTTTGTATGTGTGTACTGCAGGTAGAGATTTTTCTGTCATAGAGGTCAACACCCACCAAGACCACCGGTCTCATGTATACATTACATACCAAGAACACAACGAAAACAGCATAAGTAGACGAGGAAGTGGAAAAAACGGAGAGGGCAGTAGCAATTCCCACGAATGATAAAAAATAAAGTCAATAAAATTGTTTGATTGATTTTGATTGACAATAAAGATTAAAGACAGATCTATGCGAAAAGCCATTGTGTGTGTGTGTGTGTGTATAGTTGACATTTCATCTTAACGTATTCGCTCTCACGTGTGTACACACGAGCAAAAGAGAAAAGGTCAAACCTCCAAAATAGATTAAGGAAGGCAAGATCATAGCTGACATACGATTAGGTTTGGCATCAGTCCATGACGTCTTTGTGACAACTGATCTGAGTCAGCCAATCAGCAGAGTGTAAACTGCCTGGTTAGCGTCGTCGAGATGATAAGAACCACGACGAATGACCTGAAACTATTGATGATATGTCTCAAAATCGTTCACAGTGGCGCAGACCTATTCACTATCTTCAATTTCCAATATCAACTGAACAGTCATGCCTTTAAATGTTACAATTTTTGTCTTCTTTCTTTCCTCTGTCCGCACCTTTGTGTGTTACATAGGCAGTGGCAACTTGATATGCTGCACCTAACTCTGCAGCATAAAAACTCAGTAAGTCAGCCGGTCAAGGGGGATGCAATCTTCAACGATAATTAGAGCTGACTACGGACAAGTACCAACATGTAGGTAGGAAGTATGGTCGCGCTATACGATAAAAGTCTCCTTAAAGTACAATCACAATCAGTCTTATTCTTAGGTGGATGAACAAGATGACCTGAAATACACGACCCAGTGCTTTTGTAGACCTTTTACAAAATTACAATTGTAAATTGTTGACAAAAATGTATAGTCAATCTTGAATGAGTGACCCAACAGACTTGAGTCAACTGCATTAGATTCTACTCACCGGATTAATAAGGCGAAGGAGAAAAAAAGATTCGGGATTTTCGGCTAAACAAAACCGAACGAAGTCGGTAAAATGTTTTCAGAGAAGAACATAAAGTAACTGTGACCCTCTTCTGAATCTTTAGACCTTACTGGGATTCAGTCATGTTTGAACTAAACCTCGACCCAGGTTATACGAAGGACAAGTTAGAAGTGGCATTGTGGTAAGCACCTCCACCACGTGATTCCTGTTAGAGTATCACACTGTTTGGGGACAACTTAGATTAGATTAGATCAAGTTTTTAACACACTTGAAAAACGTATACATAAATCTCAAAGGATACATGAAAACAAACAGAGTACTGAAATAAAGAACTTACTGTATTCTTGGGTAGTTCATGAATACTAATTGTAACATTCTTCAAAGGTGCACGTGATTTAGTCTCCCAATTAAGCAGATAGTAATCTGCAAATTCTGTTGAATTGGATGATAAAATTCTCGGAGGTGCTGGAGCAACTATACACACAGACAATGGAGAGAATTTTTCAATAATTTATGAAACTTAAAAAAGAAAACTTCGGATTTCATTCGAGCAGTGTTCATCAAAGTGTTGAAAATCTAGATATGTACGCATTGGATTTCGTCACAGCGTTTTGCTTCGGAATTCAACCTCAACGATAGGTTGTCATAGACTTACGTGCTGTTGAAGAGTTTCAAACAAGGACGAAATAGCTAACTGGCCAGTACACACTCTTTGCAGGTTTTCAATGATTTCCCAACTGATTTTAGTTATTTCGTGATTTTAACTTGAAAATCATCCAAAAATTCAGCCAAACCAATATAATGCTCACTTGTAACTAACTGCTACAGGAAGATCACGACTAGTGACTTATATGTGTTTACCAACCCCATCAGAATTCATGGGCATCATCGTATGTGGTGATGTAAAGCGCTGATGATGCGTGCACACATCCAAGAGAAATAACCAAAAAAATCGGATGAAACTCATGTGCCATTTGGGTCGGGTCCCAGTGGCTTAACGGTCTGCGAGCTCGCCTTGCAATCAGAAGGTCCTGGGTTCGAACCCTGACAGTGGGTGCGTACTGATGGAGGGTCCCGAACTAGGACGAAACCACTGTCCGGTACTGCCAGGTTTCCAGTGGTTCCCTAACTGATGCCAAATCATGATGAAATCCTCCATACGGTCAAACAAAATCCCTACAAAACCAATAACTTAAAATTCATGTTGCCACCACAATCATTGACGAAAACGAGTGTAAGTCAAAGGCAACTGCATTTACTGGTTAGTATTGACTAACCACAAGAGGTAAAACGGCTCTTTGTTTCCCATAAATGAATTCGTCTATTAGCTAACAGCTAAAAACAACAATCAATTTTGTGGCACACACAGACATACACAAACACACAGCAGGCGGTTATCATGTAAAATCAGGCATTTTTTAATTTGTGGGTAGTGAAGTGAAAAACCAGAGAATTCCCATAATTGTTTTTAAAGAGGATATTCTCCCTTTTATCATCAGTTTTTATTTTTTTATATAATTAGTAAATGGTCAACTTTATATATCCTATTACCAAGAATTGTTAATGGATGAGGATATATGAAAATCAAAGCAGAAATTTACCATCTCCCTGTTTCAGCTGCACACATGCCTGGAATCGAACCAAGGAGCTTCAAGCTACTAAGCAAGACGCTGACAAAATAGAGTAGAGCCTTCTGAACACCTTGAGTTGCAATCTGCGAACGTTTGATATGCGAGTCGCTCCCGATAAATATAAGATGATGCTACAGGACTGGACTACATTGATTCCTAGCTTAGAAATAGGAAGTAAACTGGTAGGGCGTGTTGACCATTGCACTTATTTGGCAAGTTGACATCAGCCAACGCTAGTGGTTTGATTGCTGACGAAATCTCAGCACGGATACAGAGGGCTAGAGTCGCACAAGCTAGTTTACGTCGTCTCTGGAGTAGATGTGGTATCCGGCTATCGACTAAAGGGCATGTGTGCTGTCGAGCAGTCCGCTCCGTCCTCTTTCACGGCTATTAGTGAGACCTGGCCATTGAGAGTGGAGGACATGAAACGACTAGCTGTCTTTGATCATGGGTGCCTGCGTTCTATCTCCCGTGTGAAGTGGTATAATAGGGTGAGCAATATTAGGGTTAGACATCGGTCTGACAGAAAGAGAGGGAATAGTAATCAAGTAGAGAAACACGATGACCTAATGGATCCAGGTCTGGATCTGAAGTATTCGGAGAGAGATTTGCAATCATGTCACTAACAGTCTCACGATGGCACTACTGACTGGTTCTTAGCATATCTACGGCCCCAGACAGACTGTCCACACACACACACACACACACACCGAAATACACAGTTCACAGAAAAACCAACAAGTCAAAGGCTTCTCGGATTGATGTCAGCTAGCAGCTAACACTACCCGAAACGGAAGACGATAGGATGCAGCTTCACAATCACACATAGACTGAATTTCACCTAACCTGAATACTGCTCATTATTATTATTATACCTCTTAACACAGCAGATGAAATACAGCAAACATCTGTGCTGAAAGATTAAGATTTACTAGTTGAGGAGAGAAGGCTTGCAGCCAATGTTTAATCCTTTTTCTAGTAAATTTCTATGCTTGTCTAAATCTTTCTTGAATAATTAATCAGTTGAGGTTAGAGATACTACTTCTTCTGGGAGTCGATTCCACGAGTTTACGACTCAGTGTGAAAGAAACTGAGCCTGTTCAGATTAGAAAAATACAAACTGTGCGTGTATGTACGGTGAACGAGATGCTTTTTGTTGTCTTCTTTCAAATTTTACAGCCAAATTTGTACTCTCATGCGTGGGGCACTCATATAATTTAATTTTTTAAAATTTTTGATTACATCTTGATTCTACACCGTATTTTCGGTACAAGTATGGAATTTTCAGCATGGATATCGGTAGCCCAAATTACGCAGGCCGACCATAGATATCATGTGTTCGTCAGCAGGGGATCGAACCTCGGACCATGTGCATGGTCGGTGAGAGTCCTAACCACTGTGCCACCGATGCACACATACACCTGTAACCAATCAATGAAATCCCTACAAACCAATACTTGAATACCTGTAGTATTTCTTCAACTATTGTCATTATTATTACAACTGTTCGGGGGTATTTTATCGATTGATTTTTTATGAAAACAAGTTACATATGCTTACATTGGAAACTGCAAAAATCAGACACACTATCATCATGTATAAATAGATTTTTGCCCTTAAGAATGAAAACAAGAGGAAATAATTATCGCCTAGATTCATTTTTATTTGTTTCTTTGTTCTTCATTCATTTTACAGGCATCTCAACACATAAACACACACACACAAATTCCAATGAGCATAAATCCTTTGGATTTTGATCAACAAGACAAAATGTATCATCATCCCAGAGGCATCATCATCACGACATTATAGTTTGAAACGTTGTTTTGTCCAATCTGTTATCTAATCAGACTACTTAATCTAAAATGCATTTGCTATCGATAGTCAACTACTCTGAGGAGGAGGGAACCCGGTTAATGTAAACGAAGTTATAAAAAAAATACATTTTATCTGTTGGCAAAACTGATTCTATACTGTTGATTCACGAAACGACATGCTTGAATCAGTAAGAATTATGGAAGATCACTGGACACTGAACTCTTTCTATATTCTAGTTTAGGACTGTTACATCCATACACACACTGACGACGCCCCCCCCCACCTGGGGGTGAACCAGAAATAACTTTCAGGTCATGAGGGGAGTATATCATCTGAGTGTCATTCGTTCATAGACCGTAAATTCCCATTTTTTGAAGTTCAGGACAAGCATCTACCTTATAGCCAAACTACTAATGAGCAGAGTGGGGGGAGAGTTTTGTAACGATTCTGAATAATTCACATATTGTGGGGGGATTTCGTCGGTAAATAGCCGTCCAGTGCTGAATAGTAATCCGTTGATTGTCTCTTACTGATCTCTCGTAACTGACTTCATGTAAAGCACCGCTCATTGTGAACAATGGAGTTCTGAATAGCTGTTTAATCCTAGTTCAGTACGATTCGTCAGTAGCATCGACGCATGACCCCACCCATCCCACAAAAGACGGAACTCAGGACCTTCACATCCAGGTTATCAGGCGATATATGTGGACCATTCATTCAATGGACGGAGTCCAACAGCTCATGAATTATGCTTTTAACATATATGCGATATATGTATAGGCCATCTGATGCGGTTGGGATAAAAATTACTCTTGATTATTCATCATACGTTCTTCCTCGCAGACGTACATACGAGTGGGATCAATCAAGGTAACACGGGAAGAAAGCAGTGAGGTGTTAGGGAAAGACGACAAACTCCATTATGGAAAAAATGTATTTTGATAAAGTTTCACACAGTGTTATACGGTAGCATCTACTGGTGACGCTTCGAGTACAATTTACTGCTAATAATTATAACAAGTTTGTTGTATATATATATATATATATATATATATATATATATATATATATATATATACTTGACCTTGGATAAAATACGCACACTGTGTTGCGTATCTATCTAGTCTTTAGTAGTGATACCGACTATTGCAGTCATTAACGCGGTACACCTTGAACTGATGTTAAATAATTAGGAGAGCTTCCTCCTGTTGACCTTTAATTTCTACTTATTGAAATACAAGCCTAGTAATATTATGAACGCCATGAGATCCGCCACACACACACACAAAATGTTATGGTTTGTGTGACGGCTGGAATACTACTGGACGGACGAACAGACTGAAGCAGGAAGAGGTTGTCTTAGGGGGCGCCACACACACACACACACACAACCCGTCCACGACTCGCCTTTGCCTCAAAATCCGATCAATAAGGCAGTGAAGCAGTATCAGAAGTATCTGAGTTTCCACAGTTTCTGGTGACTAAAAAAATGTACGCCATCCTATCCTTTCAGATCCTGAAGCCCGTGTATACACACCATAGGGTTTGGTGTCAGCGTTTTGCAGCTCCTTCCCGCCCCCTAGATAGGCAGATCAGTGTGTACACCAGTACATCTTTGTTCGCCCTTTTACTTTTGTAAAGAGCACCCACACTGAGTGAAGGTAGCGAACAGAACTAATACCGGTAGAAGCTATGAACGCGTTTGGCCACATGGGAGTATTTCGATAAGAGGACAGATATGTCAACCAACCATCAGCCGTATATCAGGTCATTATCGAAAACAGGCATATTTGTGACACTGCCTTCAACCACCCCCCACACTCAAATAAAAGACGAATTTAATTATTGAATTATACACTTACCTGTTATTTCTAACTTATGATTTACACTACCCAAGCTATTATTCGCTGTACACATATATTCACGTAGATGTTGAGGCGTTATTTTATCCAATACAACAGGATATAACCATGTTCCACCTTGTGGTTCATCAGATATCATAGTCGGTTCACCTAAGGGTAGGTCGTTACACTTTAATGTAGGAGTTGGATACCCAGTTACAAGAATCTAAAAATGGAGAAGAGAAAAAGAGAACACAACAAAATTTACAAGTTATTTATATGTAATTTCTCGGGCATTATTATCTTAAAGTATTAGTTAGTTAGTTAGTTTGGTTGTTTGTAAGGATTTCATTCGTTTCAGACTTGATCCCGAGCTGATATCAGTTAGAGAATTATTAGAAAACTAGCAGGGAGTACTGGACAGCAGCTGTTTCACCCTAGTTCTTAGAACTCCAACCGCACACACACACACCCATGATCCCTCACCAAGAATCGGATTTAGAGACTTCAGAATATGCGGCCTATCCTGTTCACACCATTTATCAATCCTACTTAGGACAGTCCATGAATTCTAACTTCTAGCAATTCGTAACTTTAGACCGACGACCACCAGCAACCAATGTCATCCGCAAGTACTTGTCCTCACAACGTATCTATCTGGTGCAATCTACTACTGGTAATGAATTCCGCCTAGAACTCTAGACAACTTTCTCCTGTAGCTAGACACGAACATTATAACGTCTGTAGAATAAATGAGTTAGCAAAGATGCACGGTTGGTTATTTATAGGATGTAATATAGACTGACAGCAGAAGTCAGAGATTATTGTCAGTTAGTAACAAAGTAAATCACAGTACATGAGTAATTACTGTGTTTGGAAATTTAAAACCTGTGTTATGTAATCAGGAGTGTGAAGACAAATACTCCGCACGGATGACATTCGCTGGTGGTCACGCTTTTTCGTGTATTCGTAGAAGTTGGGATTCAGAGGCTGGCCACTGGATCGGGTCCCAATGGCTAATCAATAGTTTACGAGCTAGCTCGCCTTGTAACCAGAAGGTTCTGTGTTCAAAATCCTGTGGGGGTGCATACCATTGAAGAGTCCCAAACCAGAGTAACGAAACAGCTGTCCAGTACTTCAAGCTTGCTTTCCAGTGGTTCTCTAACCGATGTCAGTTCATGATGAAATCCTGAAGCAATCACGAATCTTGACAGCTAATTAGTTGAGTAACGAATAGTCATTTTGAAATGGTTGATTAGCAACAATGGAAAAATGGATTGAAAGTGAGTCGCACAGGACTGACAAATTAAAACTCAAGTCTTAAAAGCTGGGTCTAAATATTCGATTTTCAATGTGCCGCCGGGGTTAAAATAAGTAAGTAGATGATTTCAAGGAGGAGAGATTTTCGTCCAGTTTTCGCACCCACTAGTTTTCACAAACGGTTCTCTGATTGATGTCAGTAGTCTGTGAAGACACCCAACCTTGAGCATTACATTTACTAAATCACTGGTAGAAGATTTCAATTGTGGTGTGTAGGCATGTGAAGTACACACAGCCATGTTGAATGAACCAGCGTTGGCAACAATAATGACTAGGTGGTGGCAATAATTCTCACTCTTACCTAGTTACGTCAACGTCAATTAATTGTCATGTAAAATATGTCTGATATCGACCTTTATGAGCACAACTCACAACATTTTTCTTGCCATTTTATTCGTTTACTAATAAAACAAGGAACTCTGGGAACGAACCAACCAGTCAAGAATCTAGTGTTCAACAAATATGCAGAAGGAAATAAAAATGGATTGGATAAACCCTGAGAGACTACCGAGTAACACCACACCACACCACGCCACCAAGCCCTCGAGTGGACCCCGAATTCGAAACGACAAGTTGAGCATCTGAAGTTGACGTGGAGGATATTATGTGATAAGGGCGTAAACGCGAAGAGGGTTAAAGAGGAATTCGGAGAACGGGATAAAATAGAGATGTGTTGTTATAGCCCTATGTTTCACTTGGAACCCAAGGGAATAATAATAATAATATAATACACACCGTAATCATCGTCTAAAAGTGTTCCCCACTTTGTTCTTCAATGAGCTAAAGGGTAGGTGTATTAGAAAAAAAACCAAAATTACTTTCAGGCTATCAGAAATCGATCATAAGATAGCGATTCACGATATAAAATGGATCCCTTTTTATTCTTTTTCTACGTGCTGTTGTTGTTGTAATTGTTACTGGTTTGATCAAGTATATTAAAAAGGAATTCGTCTAGGCATTAATTTACCCGTTATTTATCTATTTCGCCTTTTTATCGGAAATTGTAGAGAATTCCCACTCTGTTAAGACACAGTTTGGAAATACAAATGCAACAACAAATTAAACGAAGCGTCTTATACTCCCTCTATCAATTAGTACCTCATCATCAAAAGCACACCAGTAGATCTGGAATATGTTGCTTAGTGAAATAAAAAAAGAAATTATCAGTTTTATAGAATGAAAGAAGAGGAAGAAAAAAGGCGAAGTAAGCTTGGGAATGAAAACATACAACACTTTCTCTATATTACACATAATCGATAGTTAGTCAAAACGGCGATAAAATCTGTTGGAGTTAATGAACTAATTACATTAGATAACAACATTGAAATGGAATAGGTAAACAAATAACAACAACAACAACAAAAAATATACCAATAAACTGTTTAATTCAATTTTAGATTTTCCCATCGATTGATTGGACCGAAGTGCTCGATCTCAGGATGACATGTTCGCTTCCAGTGCAGACGCTTCGATGATGTATGGGCATGTAATAAGAAGTTAATTGATGGATGCTCACTAGAAGTGGCGGCATCTAGGATGCGCATTTCGTCCTATTCAGGACTCGTCCACCAGATGGATGTACTTGCATTCTGCAGTGAGTGATGATAACGCCTTGGCATTTGAAACTATAGACACTGGGCTCGAGTCTCGGTGAGAACATCATCACTCACTGCGGATTGCAGGTACATTCAACTGGAGAGTCGCGAATAGGACGAAATGTGTATCCTGGATTCCGCTGCTAGTCACCATCCACTATATACCAATAAATAGTTGGGAGGATAAGATCATTTGCATAACAATATGTACAGATGAATTAATTAATTAATACAGGCAGCTAAAACATCGCTTAAACTTATAATTGATCCAATCAATGATACATACTCTCACTAATGTAAAAAAAAACCAAACGAGTAGTTGAGTGAAGTGTTTCTTCCCAGCGAATTCATTTTCAAAAATTCTTTTGCAAGGTTTAGATTTATTTTTCGAGTTTGGACACGGTTCAAACCCTGGAAGTGGGTGCGTACTGCCACTGATTCCCACCAAACTAGGCTGATGAAACAGCTGTCCAGTAATCCAGTGCTGGTTTTCAATGGTTCTCTAACTGATGTCGATTTGTGGTCAACCGCCCCCTCCCCCCCCCCAAAAAAAACACAAATGGATAAACCGGTGATATGCAAACAAAAGAAGATCTTTCATTTACTTCTGTATCATGGTAAGGAGCACATTATTATTTTCAATCTAACCGCTTTACTGATTTTATTTCTTTGACCCTTTCTAACTTATCTATTCTTCCGAAATCTTAGGTAACATAAAATTTCTCTAGTTTCTATGTGCATCTTGATTATTATTATTATTGTATCCTTTAGTTCCTAGAGGAACATAGGGCTTCAGCTGCGCACCTCCATTGCCTTCGGTTTTCTGACAACTTTTTCACCCTGCTCCAGGTCTGTCCACATGCTTTCATCTCCTCCTCGCATGACCTCCTCCAAGTCACCCTTGGACGACCAACTCGCCGCCTCCCTTTCGGGTTCCATCTTGATTACAACTCACATATTAAATTATTTATCTTATTACGTAATTCCATCACCTTTATTCAACTTCTTATATGTATTGATTTTTATTAAGCAACTATTGTTATGATGACTCATCCCTTTCTTATTATCCACTGTCACAAGAACGAAATTGTATATGAGTGCGATTGTACAGTTAAATAAAGTAAATTCACCGAAAAGAGACTGTTGGCCGAACGCACTTCCACGGCAGAATGTACAGTCTATATTCCATTAAGAGATAGTGTTGATTAAAACCTGAGATGTGTGGTTCATTGGCAAAAAAACACTCGGCTTTCACAACCCATTGTGCTACCGGTTTGAATCCTACTCTGCCTACTTTGTTCTGCGGCAACTTAGTAATCTCATCACACGAAACGGTGGTCCCCGTTGGGTGTCAAAGGTTAACAAATTTGAGTAAATTTATCGATTTTAAGAGGGCAAACATAGAAGAAAATAACTCAACAGCCGACTATGACAGCCATATGAGTATTTTGTGAGGACTAGTGATACCCTAAACCAACCCGGTAGGGTAGGACAGCTGGAGTCCATCCAGCCAGTGACTTTATGTGTTTGGAAATCAAGCAATATAAATCGATTGAGCTACAAAGTTCGCAGCAAGCCTACGAAAACTCATCAATCCAGTTTTGATGAATTTCACCAAAAGGGATAAAATAAAAAACACAAGCCAATATGTAATAGGTTGAAAACATTCCCAAACTTTTCTGATCAAGTATTAGAAATTGATGTTTACAAATTCCTTCATAGAGAGAAAAACACACAAAAAACCTTGTTGACCTAGATTGTGTTTATATTTACAATTATGTTTTATCATTCCTTCTCTTTACTGTTACGTTATTAACATATTCAATGAACATCAATTGTAATTCCTGAGGTAAATCATCAAGTGAAAATAGTCTTTGTGATTAAGGGCATATCTCTTTTTAAACTCTTCGGATAAGGATAAATCTTCATTCGTCTTAACAATCTCCAATATAGTTTGAGATAACGTTCGGTTTCTACACATTTTTTGAAAAATTCCAACAATGCTTTCGTTTCACAGCGAGTCTTGCACTAAACAAACTTCAGGTACTCATTGAGTGCCTTGAATGCAATAGGATCCCCACGAGATTTCAATATACATTAAATATTCCCATAGTAAAATTTAGAACAACGCCTTTAAGTGAACATTATTGTGCTTTCAATTAGATCTCATCAGGCTTAACTTCAATATAATAATATTGGAGGTTGTTAAGACGAATGAGGATTTATCCTAATCCTAAGAGTTTAAAAAGACATGCTCTTAATCAGGTTGATTCTGTTACAACTCTTATAAATGATCTAGAAAGGAACATAT